AAATACTTATATCTATTATTACAGGTATATACCCAAGGCAATAGATACATCCATTTAAGAATTACATTATAATACACATTTACGAACACATTGGAAAAAATAATTAATTGCAACCGATAATAATCCACTCAGCTAGTTTTGTAAATTCGCTCAGAGCACAAACGAATAAGTCCATCTTTTCATTAATTTTGTTGATTGTGCGCAATGCACGCGTCAGTGGAGCCTCACTCAATAATTTAGTGCGTCCAGTAGGAATTGCCAACAGGCCCGGCCGCCGCCGACGCCAAATGTATTCATTTGGAACACTAAAACTAATCATCCCTAGTATGCCCGGATTAAATATCTTACCCCGAAGCACCTTAAAAATATAAATTACTAGCTTCAATTCTCTCCGAACCCTAAGCTGACTATATCCAACCATACCAAGAACAAATAATGTAGGATATTGTAATGGATAAAAGGGATACACTCCATATAGTTTTAAATACATGTATCTTACAAATTTATTCTGCACTCTCTCTAGCATAATATTATACTTTTGTTCGTGGGGAGCCCAAATCATAGCGTTACATTCTAGATGACTTCTAACTAATGTATTATACAAAGCTACGATGGCCTGTACATTCGTAAATTCATTTACAGTTCGTAAGATGAAACCTAAAGTTTTAAAAGCTTTTTTACAAACGTCAACGACGTGATCTCGAAATAATAAGTCTGCTGTGAATTTCACTCCTAAGTCCCTAACTTCTGTTACCCTTTTTAAAGGTGTGCCATCAATTTTATATTCGTGATCTATTGGTTTCTGTTTGCGTGTAAAAGTAATCGTCATACACTTGGATATATTGAATTGCAAGTTATTAACTTTGGTCCACTTGACAACTCTATCTATGTCCTCCTGGAGTCTGTTACAATCTCCTACATTCCCTATATCCGCCGACAACTTAAGGTCATCAGCAAATAACAAACATTTAGAGTTCTTCACTACATTGGGTAGGTCATTTATCATGATTAAAAATTCCAAAGGCCCTAGGTTCGATCCCTGACTTACCCCGGACCATGTAAAATACAGATCTGACTTTTTTCCCTCATACTCGACATACTGCTGCCTATCTGCCATGTAACTACAAAAAAATTTTAACAGATGTGATGTAAAACCAATCCGCGCCATCTTTTTAAGAAGTACATCATTATTTACGAGATCAAATGCCTTTTTAAAATCAAAATATGCCGCGTCCGTTTGCCCTCCTCTGTCCACTGATGGTATTATATCTGTTATGAGGGCCAGAAGGTTGCTAGTGGTGCTCCGAGCTGGCCTAAACCCATGCTGCACCTCCGACAATTGTGAGTGTATCTGCTGATATAAGCTTCCGTGTATAGCAGACTCGAAAACTTTCGCCGGAGTCGACAGTACAGCTACAGGCCTATAACCCTCTACACTCGTTCCCGCCGTTCCTTTCGGAACGGGTACAACCTTGGTTATTTTCCATCTTTCAGGAAATATAGCCAGACTTAAACTTTTATTGTATATGTAGTGTAGTGGCAACGCTAGTGCAGATCGACAGTCTTTAAAAATAAAGGGTGGAATACCATTAAAATTCTATACATTATGTAGTGCGTAAAAACTTACTCTTATCTAATTGATTCCACGAAAAGTTATTAGAATTTTTAATAGTTTCCAAATTAAGCTATACTTATATGCCTCTTTTGCATGATACCTACTTCTAAAGTTTCTGGAATAATGACAGAGCAGGCCTATGATTTAGCTACATGTAAATACGAGATTAAGATAATAAAGATAGTAAATCTCATAAATATACTTAGAAATAATGCCATTTATTATCAGATCAATTATGTGAAATAAAAAGCTCTCAAACTTAAGTTTTTTCCGTTTACACTTTATATATGCCTCTATTGCCCTACAAATTTTATAGCACTATAATAATAAAACTCTTAGTTTTTTTTATTAAAAAAAAAACAATGTTACATTATAATATGACAATTAGTATGTTTATGGGTACCGGTACGAATGGAATAGTGAAATAATAAACAAATCACATTTTTGCCCATATGCCCCTGTTGCATGAGACCAGTGATATATATGTAAGTACGTATTTTATAGTAAATCTATATATATAAAACTCAAAGGTGACTGACTGACATAGTGATCTATCAACGCACAGCCCAAACCACTGGAAGGATCGGGCTGAAATTTGGCATGCAGGTAAATGTTATGACGTAGGCATCCGCTAAGAAAGGTTTTGATCAATTCTACCCCCAAGGGGATAAAATAGGGAATGAAAGTTTGTATGAAACTTTGTCAATTTTAAATTGATCGTGCTGAGACTTTGCATGCAGGTATAAGAAGAATCATAGATGAATGTCATTGTGTATAATACAAGCCTGAGAACAAAAACTGTAGTCTACACTTCAGCTCTACACCGAAGCGAAGCCGTGACACCTGATAAATGGCTTGTAATAACTTAATATAACACACAATCAATCAAGACTAACTTAATATAACACACAAACTGGAATATGGTACAAATTCCTTTAAATACATAATGAAATTGTGCTTTACTGTGAGGCTTATTCAAGGTTACTTAATATCTGCCAATAACATGCTATAGTGACTAGGATTGCCAACAGTGTAGATCAGAAATCCGGGAGGTGAAATAAAAAAGACAATGAAAATCTATGTTTAATTTCAAAGTGTATTTTTTTACGCTCCAAGCAGCTTTGTAGAGCCTATGATTGAGTATAAGCTGCCACCGAGTATGTTGTACAATCTTCAAAGTTGATTGCACAGCACACAGCAGGCCACCATCAATCCTATATTTCGTCAGTACATTCCAGGAATCCTTTTGCGTAACAGTTGAATGTTTTCTGAAGAACAAGTTTCTCGTCTCGGATGATTTTGTCAGATTTCCTGCTGTTTTAATGATTTAGAACAATACAAAAGCAATTTTAATTAGCATTGAAATACTTTTACAAACAATATTTTTGTTTAGACCTTTCCATTTTACGTGATTGTGCAATGGTTTGAGCTTGGAATACAGACTTGATGAATAAGAAATTTAAATTGGAATATTTTTTTGGGTTGAGTGAAGAACTTAACTATTAATATGACATCTTGATGGGTAATCTTTATAATTAATTTATAATCCACTTTAACATGCATGTAACGAGTATTTCAAATTATATTCATAAATTGTGATTTTAATGTATGAAACCAAAACAAGAGTACCTGTCTCAGGTCAATCTATTTGTATACCTTATTTAAGGTGGAAATGTAGTAGTACTAACAAAAATTTTATATACCTACCACTACCATGTAAAAACTAACCGAGGCTTCACAGATAAAATTCTGATTCTGAAAAAAATAGCTGAGTATAAGAGTCATAAGATGAATACTGAACAGCTCAAACTAAGTAATGTTTGTTAAGTAGATTTACTGGAACATCTCTTAGCCTTGGCTGGTAGTTAGATATTTGCAGGGCTGTGTTGACTGATGGCCATTATTATAAATTTGCCTTAGGGGCCGTTCAAGTATTACGTAAAACCTATAGGGGGGCAGGGGGGTGTTTGCTTTGCTTATTTTTGATGACATGGGGGGTCGAAATAGTGATTACGTCAGCATCATGGATTCAGGTGTCATGGACTGAAGACTGTTAATTGGAATTAATATGTATACCAAAAATCATCGAAAGATGTTTGTTATGTTCATAGTAGTACATAATATGATTATAAAGTTTGTTTGAATGAATTTTGTGTGCGTTAAAGTCCTCTATCCTAAGGCTATTTATGTACTGCTGCTCATGAAGCTCATGAATCAATAAAAGAACAATACATTAAAGGAAAAATGCATATAGGTACCAATGTTAACGTTAGTATGGGATGGGGGGGGGGTTTAAATAAATCTGCTTACGTAATACTTGAACGGCCCCTTACTAAATTTGCAAAGTTTTAGGCATACGCATTAATTGTCGTTTTGGTGGAGGTTCTTCTGTCAGTATTCTATCTATTTGACATTTAAATTAAAATTTATATTTTATATTATTAATTACACATACTTATTTATTATTGTCTACACAATTTTGTTTTTTTTTTTAAAGATTATTTACATATATTTATTTATTTTTTTACAGAATTTATTAACAGGTATTGCTATTTACATTAATAATGAATAACAATGTTGGTATTTCTATGTGGGACTAGGGCAGTACAATGCCAGCTTTGTAGCGTACCTACATCCTCGCGCTTCCTACGGGCAGTTGCTGAAAATCAGCATTTTGCCTATTAAGGCAAAAACACTGCTGAGCTTCTGCCTTTTTGTGTCACTGTCACTTACTAATGACTGTAGTTTAGACTTCTTATTTAAGAAATTATAATCATCTATGTCAGTAGTGAAAATGTATTAATTGTATTCATTTGTGATGCAAATAAATGAATGAATTGAATTGAATTATATTTATTGTTATTATAAAATGTTCTCATTTCATTTTTGTACGTATGTAATTACATAATAGTGGTCAGATGCTTGAAATTTTTTATGTACTTGTGCATCTTATCTTAAATGAGATTCAAACGAACTTTCTAATAAGTCAAAAAACATTAAAGTTTAAAAGTTTAAACCATTTCATCATTCTATTTATTACATGAATGAATGAATATTGTATTGTTACATTTACCTACAAAATTTATCAAATTCAATAAAAAAATAATTATCCGCTATTTGATTAATATAACTGTTAATACAGGTATATTACTCAAATGCTGAAACACAGCTGTTAATAAAGGAACAATAAATAACTTTGATAGTTGTTAGGTTGGCACTTGACAGTCTACCCTGTCCTTAAAGCCTTTATATGACTTTAATACCACGATAACAATGTTTTAATTGTATTACAAATTAATACAATGAAATATAGTATTTACGGGAGTAGACAAAAAAAATAGATTGATCTTACCACAAAAATATTTAATGGAAACATGAACGTAGTTTATATAAGGAAGTAGTCAGCCTTGTTAGCCTTCTGCCAGCAGAGCTGCGTGAGGAAGGCGGTGTCACAGTAGTCGGCGCCCTTCTGCGTGCCGCACCCGCGCAGGTTCTGCTCGTTCTTGGCGCGCATGTCATCCGGCAGCAACGCCAGCACCGCCTCCACGTCCACAACGCCTTCCGTCATCATCCCCGCCGTCTCCATTATACATTTCAAGTAGCACTTCAACTTTGGATCGGGCATCAAGTCCGCACCTGCGTTCACTTTGTCCACCAAGCTCAGGTCCGCTCCCGTCTCCTCGCCGCAGTTGTCGTGCAGCATCTTAGCCAGCTCCGCCATCTCCTCGTCCATGGCCCAAGCCCCCGCTACGAACGCGGCTAGCAAAACTGCCCGTGAGAAACCCATGTCCGCTAACTTCAGCTAAATTAGAAGAATGGAATGCCTCATAATTAACCAGTGTTGGACTTATATATAAAGCGTTCAATGCCAACGCTGATACTAGCTGAAGGCAGGCGATGCCTGACGCCTAAATTATACCGTGCTCGTTGCCAGTCCGATGATTAAAACTGCTTGTTTGTTCGCAGCATACATCTTCCTTATGTAAACTGTAATTTATTTCATTGATACTAGAGTCATTGGAAAAAATTATAACCCCCAATGGCTTTTATGACGAGTTTGCGGATTGTTCTTTTATCTATAAACATGCAAATTGCTGGTTTAAAATGGTGATTTGTGTCGAAATGATTTTTTGAGGTGTCACTTCTATTAAACACATAACTGGCCAAATTAAAGAGATGCTTTGAGTAGGATAGTATTTACTGGCAGTTGTTTGTTATGGACCTCAGGCTATCATTTAATTTCATTAAATGAAGTTAGTATGTGCATGCCAACCATGCTTTGTCTCAGTGTGTGAACACGATAATGTTAATCTCAGGCGTGCGCAGCAATTCAAACGAAACATTTACTTCGTCTATCAGGTTATTAAATAGAATTCCGTTTATCCTGTCAACATCCCTAATAGGGTCTGAAGGCACGTATCTATAAGCAGTAAATTGTGCGTTGTTCCAGACGCGGATGCAGTCGCTGCGGACGGCACACAACAGCACCATCGTGGAGACGTTCCGGCACATGGTGCAGCGGGAAGGACTGCTCAGGTGATGATCATTATAACAAATTATATATTATGCGAAAGTTTTTACGGATGATTGTAAAAAGACGCTGCCTGTCGCAGTATTATTTCTATTTTCATATTTTTTTCCTTCTTGGAATAGTTCAATACGCCACATGTCTATTTTAATATATTCTAGGAAATCTCCGTCATGTGCCAGCCAGGATCATGTCCATTTGTATGACACATTGTTTATTACGGACAATAAGCGACTTGTGATTCTTATTATGATTACTTACTGCTAGCTGTTACAAAATTCATGTACCATCACAAAATGCCGCCAAATTTTAAAGTTTATCGGTGACACCAATATGAGTGGTGACACATTACTCATATTGAGTGTTCAACAATAGTGCCAGTGACAATGCCATTCCGCTGCCTTTCGTGGAACACTCTTTTTTAGACCTCGTTTGAAGAGGACTATGCTATAGCACTGAGGGAACACCGTGGAGGGGAACTCATTCCATAAATTTATTGTGCGTGTAGGAAAAGATTCAGTATTTCCGGGTAATATAGGTGAACTCGACTCCGACGACGGGTGGTGCGGTGGAAAAAAGGCTGAAACAATTAAACATGTAGGTAGTAAGTATTATCAGCATGAAAGAGCCTGTAGAATACACACAGGCAACCAAAATGTCTGCGCATCTGTAAAAGATCCAATTTTTCAGCCATCTTTGGATCATCCACAATCCGAATAGCGGCGCGCATCTTTGTTAAGAGTCAAAGGGATCTAACTGATATTTGGGAGCTCCAGCCCAGAGATGTGCAGAATTATGCAGCGGGAATCATTGGAATTGTGGTGTAACAGCAAATTAGTCCTACTGTGCTGTGAATGCGCAAACTTCTCTTGTTAGGATTGATCGAGACGCAGTCATCGATAGTGAATGCTCCTGCTGTCCAAGAAGCTGGATAGCTGCAAAGCCTGAGAAGGTACCTCGTAAGACGGTAACTTGAGGTGTAGTTTGACAAGGATATCGACTTGCAACGGCACTGCAATAGCCACTGTGGTGGAATGGAAATCCGACTAAAGTTACCTTCAGCAGCCTTGGCGAGCGACTTTAAACGCACGGCTTCCGGAGGGAAAACTATTCAGTCATACCTATTCTTCCGATATTGCTGTGCCCTTGCGGCTTTAAACTTTTAATTTTCCTTTTAAATCCGGATCCCGACACATTCCAGGTGAATACTTTGCACTTGCAGCGTCTGCACTGGCCTTGTTGAACCAATGAAATTGAAATCATCATTATTTAGGATAAACGCTTCTAGTTCAGCTTCTAAAATAAAACTTATACTATTGAAATCGTACCTACCTAAGGAGCTCGATGGCGCAGGTGGTTAGCGCGTTCGGCTGCGATCGTTGTAAAGCAACTTTCGCAGTGGTCGGTCATTGGATGGGTGACCAAAAATTTCTATCTCTAGTTCCTCTGTGCTTCGGAAAGCACGTTAAGCCGTTGGTTCCGGCTGCATCTGCAGTCGTTAGCACCCGCCAATCCGCACTGGGCCCGCGTGGTGGGTCTTGGCCCAATCTCCCTATTCCATCCATAGGGAGGGCCTGTGCCCCAGCAGTGGGGACATTAAGAGGATGATGATGATGATCATTAGTACCTAATCTTATTCTCTTCCAAATATTTGGTTATAAATTGAAAGCATAGTGGACATCGCCACAATGGGGTCATGGTCAACAATGATGGGTTTCGTAAGCGTCCATTGCTTTGCTGACCATCGGTCGGGTCGGGTCGGGTCATGTGCTCGTTTCACACTCTACTCATAATATCAATATAATAATAACCTGCATATACAAGTGCGAGTGTTACTGGTAGTCAGTTGATTGACATCGTTCTCATAACCCGGCCACGGTGAGTTCCGCACCAATTGCTTTATTATCTAGTGACGGCTGACAATGGCCCCTCGGCTCGGCACATCGCCACAGTCAGTCCTACACTGCTCGCAATAGCACTATTGTCACTTGACGTGTCCTGTGTATCGACAAAGACGTATAAAGATACGTCCTGACGCAGTGCGAAAGTAGAAATACATACTTCGTACTGAATTCTAACTATAACTCTTTTTATTACGTATACTAGTGGCCCGCCCTCGCTTCGCTTCGGTGTAGAGCTGTAGTGTAAACTATAGTTTTTGTTCTCAGACTTGTGCTATAAACAATGACTTTATTTATATAATTACACGTGTTATTGTGAGTCAACCATAAAAGATAGACATATGCTGTTGCGGGATATTTTTTAGACAATTTTATATAGAATATTTCCGTTATACATGATTTCCATGTAACTTTAACCATTAAGGCTGCACACGCGACGGAAGCTTAAAATATGGAGTAACTTCTCCCGTTTTCCCAACATTTCCCTTCTCTACTCTGCTGCTATTGATTGTAGCGTGATGAAAAGTATACTATAACCTGCCCAGGAGTATGAAGAATAATTGTACCAAGTTTCGTTAAAATCCGTTGAGTAGTTTTTGTTTCTATAAGGAACATACACACAGACAGACAGACAGACAGACAGACAAAAATTTTTACTGATTGCATTTTTGGCATCAGTATCGATCACTAATCACCCCCTGATAGTTATTTTGAAAATATATTTCATGTACAGAATTGACCTCTCTACAGATTTATTATAAGTATAGATTAAGCTAGCAGACCATGGTCACGACGCGCACATCTAACCTACTGGGTATTTAGTTCCTGATTAGTTACACTATTCCCGATTTAGTTGCTCAGCACCTGTAAAAGATGCAAGCGATAGATAACAATAAAGAATAGCAACTAAATACCCAGTAGGTTAGATGTGCGCGTCGCGACCATGGTCTGCTAGCTTAATATACGTCTTTTTATTATATTTATTGCATTGCAACGACGCTGAAGGCAACTTTTTTGGCATACTTTTGGTGTCTTTGATGGTTCCTTTAGTTATGATGACCCATTCATGTGGGTGCTTTAGTTAGCGACCACTACATTACATAATTATGTACAACAACAGCCTATTTACCTTTAAGTACCGACGTGCATTTTCTGTAACGTTAGTACCGATGTGAGGTCTGAGCGGCCGCGTATATTATATCGAGTGTTTTGAAGAATATTTGTCCTTCCATTATAATGTAAAAATACAGGGATTTAAAGGAGAAAAAATAAGTAAAGAAAAAAATAATGTTGAATAGATTTTTGGATAGGACACTACAATAATATTTGGCCTTGATTTTGGGATGAAATTGGACTATTCAATTAAAAATATTAAAACTCACTAGATACTTGTCTCAGAATAATAATAAATAGTAATTCTTAATAACGGCTAATATAACTATTGGAAAAGAAATGTGGGAATATAATATAAACCTTGAAAAAATATGTCCACAGTCTAAGTACACCTAAAATTCAAAGCACAGCCAGGACACGTTTATTTTGTTACACCCATAGCCATTAAAAATGATTCCTATGTTTTCCAAACCGGAAAAATTAAAAGTCCTTTTTAAAATGATTATTAAATATTTTTACCAAGGTGTCCGTTAAATTGTAATGACTGTAAAATAAAGTATAAGTTACGCCAAGAATTACCGTATATGTCAATATTTTTTGTACATTTGGGCCAATTTGAGCAATCTCCTTTTCTATAGGTCGATTTTCTTATTAATTTAGGTTGGCATAAAAAACAATTATTTCGTGTCTGACTTCCTTAGCTTCTCGTGATCTCCACATGTTTCTGGCTTATCAGAACCAAGTACTCTTGCCAAACTCTTACCAGTTTTCAATCATTCGCTCACTATTTGGATTATTTATACATATCCGAGAGGAGCTCGATGGCGCAAGTGGTTAGCGCGTTTGGCTTCGCTCGCTGAAGTTAAACAACTTTCGCAATAGTCGTTCACCAGATCCAAAAATTTTCTATCTCTAGCTCCTCCGTGCTTCGGTAGGCACGTTAAGCCGTCAGTCCCGGATGCATCTACAGTCATTAGTATCCACCAATCCGCACTGGGCCGGCGTGGTGAGCATCTGCTCTTTAATTGCCTTCAGTACCTATATAGGCTCGGACCAGCCAGACGATTTTGGCGGGGCGTCCCGATTTTTAAATTAAAATTTGATGTCCCTTGCGGGACATGCTTAATCCCGCTTTTCGGGAATAACTAGACCGTACGTGCAGCGTACTGAGGGCACGCGGATAAGTGTGGACTGGCCGCCTGCCCGGCGCGTAATAAAGATAAATATGTCCCGTTTTCGACGTCAGAATGCCGCTTTTTTCACTCAAAAAGTTCCTAAATCCCGACTTGGCAAAATAATATCTGGCAACGCTGGCTCGGACTCATGTTAATTTTATGGATTTTCCGCTATTTGTAATATAGCGGAAAATCTCAATATTATTTTTGCCCAGAGATGTGCAGAATTATGCAGCGGGAATCATTGGAATTGTGGTGTAACAGCAAATTAGTCCTACTGTGCTGTGAATGCGCAAACTTCTCTTGTTAGGATTGATCGAGACGCAGTCATCGATAGTGAATGCTCCTGCTGTCCAAGAAGCTGGATAGCTGCAAAGCCTGAGAAGGTACCTCGTAAGACGGTAACTTGAGGTGTAGTTTGACAAGGATATCGACTTGCAACGGCACTGCAATAGCCACTGTGGTGGAATGGAAATCCGACTAAAGTTACCTTCAGCAGCCTTGGCGAGCGACTTTAAACGCACGGCTTCCGGAGGGAAAACTATTCAGTCATACCTATTCTTCCGATATTGCTGTGCCCTTGCGGCTTTAAACTTTTAATTTTCCTTTTAAATCCGGATCCCGACACATTCCAGGTGAATACTTTGCACTTGCAGCGTCTGCACTGGCCTTGTTGAACCAATGAAATTGAAATCATCATTATTTAGGATAAACGCTTCTAGTTCAGCTTCTAAAATAAAACTTATACTATTGAAATCGTACCTACCTAAGGAGCTCGATGGCGCAGGTGGTTAG